CAGTGAGTCTGATTAATGGCTTGTAATAATGATTGTGGCATTTACCGACGGTTTAAGTGTAATGGTGTTCATATCTCCATGAGCAAGCTTCCACTATATACACACTCAGTAGTCCCGAATTTAACCTCAGATGCACTTTGCGATGAGTTATTAACCTACATCGTCCAACATGGGGGTTGGAGGGGGCTGGGTCAAGTGCACCCACCAACTCTGCCTTACCAACTCCAAACACAGACCCACTCTCTCTCTGTCGCTCTATAAATTGTCTGATTACTCAATATAACTCAGGCCGCTCATCTCCGGTGCACCGAGCCCCAGACTAAAGTGGGGATTGCCAAGAAGGAACAGGGAATTATTGGTAAATGAAGCATGAAACATGCCTTGTAGGCGTTGTAGCAACCAAGCATATCATACAAGAGGGGGGGGATCATCACCAAAGCCCCCTAGGATGTAGTGACTTCAGTGTAAAAAAAAAAACTAGGCTGCTAACCCTATTGGAATCACATGGTGCAGGTAGAGGAGGAACTGGATGTGAACAGGAAGGTGATTAGCGGCGGCAGATATCTTAGGTGCGTGGCACTGAGGCTGGGTTGATGACAGGTTTTCTGCGCCGTCTTTGGTGCGACCACTTTAATGAATCATCGTTCAGAAGCTAAACATGATAAAAAGTTGATCAATTGTGCGAGGGGATCGATCACTGTCAGTATCTTTCCCGTTTAAATCCAATTTTATAGCATGGGCTGGTTGTTCATCTGCGAGAGTGGCAAATATGATGTTATCATCAGGTTGGAGATATCCGCAAAAAGAGTTTATATCATGAGCAGCACCACATCGTGTCACTCAGACTAGTCCCATCCACCTTGAATAATTGCTCCTTGGTGTCAGAGATGGTGAGGCACTCATTGACAAGATTGTTGAGTGCCCCTATTTTCAGTTGACTCTTGTTCATCTAATGTTCACAAGCACCGCCCTGCACCGCCCAACAGTGCCCATGAACACAATGACGTTACCCATACCACACAATCACCACGTGCCTTAAAAAAGGGGTCTCCCTGTTCTCAACCTCTGTTTTGCGGTTCCAATATGCAAGTCAAGTTTAGGAGGTCGGACAGGAAGTCTCAGGTTTCACCCCAGGAACCTCCAATCATAGATGCACCTGGGCGACACAAAACCCCGGCTTGGAAAAAAAGCCTGCCTGCAAAGAAAACTCAAACCAAACCAAAAGGTTATGGCTATTAAGGCAATTTTTGTCTAATCACTTCTCCAACCCCCAGAGGTGCAGTACAAATATGGACAGAGCAGAAGGGTTCGACACAAACAGCAGAAGAGCTGGCTATACAATCCAGCCCTCTTGAGCCTTCTAATGCAGAACATGTGGTGTTGCATTGTGTCTTGTCCTGAAAGGAAGATTCACAGAAAGACTTTTGCGGATGCTCTAGTTCAAATGTTTAGCAGACGTCTACAAATTCATTATCCACTGCAGAATTTGAAAACATTGAATCCTACAATTAAAGCCACAATTTATCAAAGCCAGTTCATCACACCCACTCTTTTATGAAGGTGTTATCGGCACAGATGATAATAACAGACCCCCTTCCTTCACTCAGCCACATTAGCATCAATCACAGAGAGCTCTGAACTTGGTGTGTTATGCTACCTAGAGCCCTACTGCCTGTCCATTTTGCCAGTTACTCCACAAATGTCATCCTCGCTTACCCATTGCATCAGTATCTTGGCCCGTCACGTTCAAAGAGCAGAGACAATGCCCGCCTGTAACCTCGACATCTTGGCTCTGACCTTTTGCTTGACTGATAAGGGAGGGGCTTGCAACCCCAAGGGGGTCATCATCTGCTTTAGCCTTAGTCTAGCCATCTCTGAGGCCATCCCACCTCTCAATTACCCCCTTCGGCTGTCTGACCCTCCCAGCTTGTTTATCTGTTGGCCAATTAATTTGTCAAGGGAGTATTACTGTTGTCAAAAGCTGAGCTGTCTACTGTTCAAGAAAGATCAAAGGGTGATGGGAAGGGGGAAAAGAGTTGGCCTACAGGGCTCAGAGGGGGTACATGTACTTGTACATAACAGAGTTTTGGCCATCCGGGTACAACTTGTGTTCTGCACTCCTCCCAAGAGTTTCAGTTCCCTCGGGATGGACCCGTGTTCTTGCATTCAGTCGATGAATCTTTCTGTTGTTTCCTTTTCAGTTGATAAAACTGATTCAATAACACTGGACGCCACACTGAGACAACATGGGACAGCACAATGGCCAATTTTCCATACTTGTGTTAGTGGATGAAGATGCATCATTCTATTTCACACCCGCTGCAGAAAAATACAGCACTTGGGACAAAATGCCACGTCATCTGCTTGCTTTAGTGTAGGATATAGCAAAACTTCCTTCAACATTGTTAATCACACAAACAACATGCATGTATATGTTGCATGTGGCTTCTCTTACAATACCACTGACCCATACCCGGATATCTGACACCTGTACTTCCTTAACATATCTGTGTTATTTCATTTGTGTCGGCACATGAAGTTTTCAGCACTAGTTTTCCCATGTGCTGTTTTGAAATGCTTTCCTGGTTTTGCTCTGAGTAATTTCTGCCTTTGCTGCTTGGAGTAAAGTTAACAAACATGGTTGTGTGTACATGTACAGACATGTTATGTGCTCCTCTCTTTTTGTGAAAAAAGAGAAACTAATCGTGTTACATTCCGGGTTTCTCTTTTCATCCATATTTCCGGGCCTGGATCTGTTTTGTTGACTGCAGATAGCAAGTGCTTCTGCAACATTTGAAATTGGGCATTGAAGAGTGATGCCTCGGCACTGAAGTGCTTTTTTTTTAAAATCCTGTTCAAACATACATGTTGGGTTGAGGTGTTGAATGAGATTGTGAAGTTGAAATTGTGTGTTTGTCTCAAAATGGTTCATCCTTAAGCATGATTTAAAACTATTTAACATTAACCGCTTCCTGCCGGGGAGCCCATTTCGGGCACTGTGTGTTTATACGCGTGGCCAGGGTCTCCGAAATCGGACAAAGGGAACTGGGCCTTGTTACAAAAGACCGTTCTCAGAACAAAAGACCAGGCTGCTGGGCATTACCGACATTTTTCCACTCTCAATAGTGGAGAAAATCCAGCCCTGTTTTGAAACAGTATACCACGGATTAGGGCATTTAGTGCGAGCGG